ATAGTACTGATGATGGTTACATAATACTGATGATGGTTATATAATACTGATGATGGTTATATAGTACTGACGATGGTTATATAATACTAATGATGGTTATATAGTACTGATGATGGTTATATAGTACTGATGATGGTTATATAATACTGATGATGGTTATATAATACTGATGACGGTTATATAGTACTGATGATGGTTATATAATACTGATGATGGTTATATAATACTGATGACGGTTATATAGTACTGATGATGGTTATATGATACTGATGGTGGTTATATAGTACTGATGATGGTTATATAGTACTGATGATGGTTATATAGTACTGATGATGGTTATATAATAATAATAATGGTTTCAAACCATATCTCCAATTAGCTATCAGTAGTGTTTCCTCGCTATAGAGCCTGATACAACCTACATATACCTAATATTTGCACATTACGTTATAACAATTCCTGAGTAGTAGTTAGTAGTATTGGCCATCCCCTCACTATCTCTGACATGTGTTTTTGTTTCTTTTTCAGTGCGGCTTGCTGGAGGAACTAGTCGAAGTTCTGGCAATGTCTTGGGGTTTAAGTACAACAAATATTATGCTTATTGTGCTGATGGGTTCACTGACAGGGAACGAGACGCAGTGTGTAGAGAGTTGGGGTTTGATGGCCAGGTAGATATCTTCCGTTCACGTTTCCTTGATGTAACATATATTGGATTTAATAATCTAACATGTCCAGAGAAGGCTAAATCAACAGACAACTGTACTGCAGTTTTTACTGGGAGTGAAACTGGATGTTTATATGGAAAAGCGACCGTATCCTGTGGTTTTTATGATAATAATAAAAATAATAGTGGTAGTGATCAAGCAATTAAAGGTTTGTCGAATTTATTATTTGTCGACCAATCATACACATATAAAAATAGTTTACGAATGCAACCCTTTCGTTGGCTTTGCACGAAATCCGTGCTCTGATTTTAAGGCAGTTTCAATAAACATACATTATGCAAGAGCTAAACCTGTCCATTGCAGGTCTTTATTTATGCCTTAAATGTTATATAAATTATTAATATGAAACGACCATAATCAACTCTGGATGCCATCTTATGTGTCCGATTTTCATTTGATTTGATTCCGATCTGCTGTTCAACGCTCATTGATGATTGACCGCAAAAATGAATAATCGAGACTTTGTTAATTTTCGTGACAGCGGTAACAGTGGCCAGCGAGCCTAAAATAAGTTTTTCACGGCTTAGAATGAAGCAATTTGACTGAATTTTTTTTAGCATATTCCCTTTACATTATCTAGGTTTTAACTATTATAGTGAGAACTGCCAGCTCTTTATCTAATCGTTCACAATGTATCTTTAATTATTACAGTTTGTTGGTTGTTTTGTTGTGGGTTTTTAGGCAGGTGGGTGGGGTGTGGGGTGCGCCATTTGCCTGATTTAATTTCACATAATTAAGTCAAAATATAGAGGGAAATTGGCAGCAATATGTCTCTCTTCAATGGTGCACTTCTTCAACAGTATTTTTATTATTACTACTGCAATCCGATGTTCTACAGAGTAAATATTATATTATTTGGCACCAAATAGGAAGAAAAAAAAAGCAGATTAAAAAATTTGAAAAATATTAAGAAGAAACCCCAGAAAATCATGAAAATATTTTGAAAAAATCACATAGGTGCACCATATAAAGGCGTGCCTGTCCCCATGTACCTGTGCTTTACTGACAAATAATTATCTTTAATTTTCAGCTTCTGGGATTATTACTAGTATCATGTGTATTATTATGGTGTGTTCTACCAGGTTTTAAAATTCACAGTATGTATTTATCTTCTCTTCATGTCTGAATAATTACACGTAATTTACATGTCTGAATAATTACACGCACTTTACGTGTACTTTTATTATACGTACATTTATTTACGTTAATGTTAACCAAACATTGGATTCTGGTCTAAATATTTATTTTTTTGGTTCACTTTCTGTCATTGAAATGTCGCGATTATCAAAGGAATGGAAAAAAATTCGCAAAATGTTTTGGTGGCGGCGAACCATAATTTGCAAGTTACCTAACGTCGCTATATATTGAAATGGCTATATTGAGCAGGATACCACTCAAATGTAACAGTTTATAAAAGCTATGCTAAAGCTTAAGCATTTTAAGTCATAAATAATACAGTTTCGGCCTCCTTCAACTTCGCTTAGCCACTGCAGCTAGCTTCTAAAAACGCTACATATTGTTCCTCTAAGGAACACCGAATGGTATCTGATTATACTACCTTCTTCCTCTTCTATTAGTGTTTAACATCCGCTTCTACCGAGGGTGATATCTTAGCGCATGCGCAGGGACCTTTCATGTAGGAGGAAACCGGAGTAGGCGGTGTAAACCCACGAGGTTGAGAAGGCACCCCTATCTCCATGCCACATACGCTCACACCAGGCAGGGAAACAATGACTGCAAGTCAGAGGTGACCGACCAGCTAGAGGTCAAAGCGTGATACTCTAGATCACTAGAATGTCCATTGGTACTCATCTAATAGTCATTTGTATTGTTATTGATTTCAGATTGAATGGGACGACAAATCAGAACTCAAGCACTACCTAGGAAACGTCGACAGACTAAGAACAGCTTACCTTTTAATTACAAATCCCTTCAAAATAACGTCCACTTCCACCGAAGGTGATATCGCAGACAAGCCTTATTTTTCATTTTTATTATCTTAGCGCACGCACAGAGGTCTGCCCTGTCGGAGGAAACCGGAGTACCCGGAGCAAACCCACGGGGTTGACACGGCGACCTTATCTCCAAACCACATATGCTCACACCAGGGATCGAAACCACAACCGCAGGCCAGAGGTGACCGGCCAGCTAGAGGTCAAAGCGCGGCACCTATAGACAACTCCCCCCCCCCCCCATACACGGCGTCTAGTACAGCTATTTATAGACCTGCTAATTAACGACTACAGTTCGTTTGTTTCGTTGGTTCGTGGAGTTTTACGCCCGCTTGCACCTAGAGTGATATCACAGATAGAACGACGACTATTGTTTAACCACTTTCTATATATACTAAATATTAGAGTAATGATAACGTATATTTACCAAATCTTGTATATGTAGAAGAAAATGAAGTTAAAGTTACAATTTCATATTTTTAAAATGTATTAAAATAAAGCCTTAAAATAGATTGTATCTATAAACAGTCCTACCTTGTTAAAGAATAATCCTATTAATCCTATAATTCACTATTGCCAGTTGAGAAATTGGCAAAAATATAATTTTCAAATTCAAATTCAAACGTTTGAAGATAGCTATTCCATGGTGGGGAATAGGAAAACAAGGGAGGTAATTGGGGGGTAATTGTGTTATTAGTTCCGGTGTGAAGATTTTTAACCTATGTGAGAAAGATAACCTATGATCGTATCTTAGTGAGTTTACAACCCATTGAGCAAAAGACATAGAAATAATTATGTTTTGACTTTCTTAGAAAATATGAAATTGTAACTTTAAAGTACTGATGCGTCATTTGCAGTGTTCACTAAAATTTCAAATTCCTCGCGGCTTCATGCACGTAATATGTACTTAAGTTGATTATCTAACATTTAATTAAGAAATCTAAATCAAAATAGGCCAATCATTTTTGTTTGTCCACAACAAAATGGCCGCGTGCTTATTACATGTACATAGCGAGCCGCATAGATCATTGAAATTTCAATTTAACCATCCATGATTTAACATGTAAGTACTGAACAGACCTGAACCATTTTGGGCGATATTTCTATTATAGATTTACCTATCACTATATTGCCGGTATTCCTATTGTGATAAAATGACGCAATGAAACTTTAAATTATGTTTAATTCTATATGTTATAATTATTATCAGTATTTAACCAATTGTAGCTATATGCCATAGATGTCACCCCTATCATAAGAACCCTTAAAGGGTAACGTTCTTTACTTTCTTTTAAATTATTGTAAATTCACATGCTATGCATATAATGCAATCACATTAAACTTTTAACAAGCATGACAAGGACTTTAACAATGTATTCATAAACAACATCGTCTTAAATGATAATGATAGTGCAGTTAAAGGGGAATAACTCTAATTAACGAAGGGCACCCGGGCTAAGTAGTGCGAGTTATAAATGGACAATTTTTTTCTCCACTCTTCCTGCCTTTTGGGTTGACTTTTTGGTCTAGAATTGGAGAAAAGGGGTCAAATTTTCAATTTCATAGCAGTTTTGGTAATGCAGATGATTTTACAGCGGAGGAATGGGGGTGTAAAGTGTCTGTCTGTAGACCAATCATTGTGTCGAAAGTGAGATTTTCACCGCAGTCAACATCAACTCCCCGTAGCAAAAAATCTAAACGGTCAACCCCCTACAAAATTATGATGAGATGAAGAGATTGCCAAATGTGGTCCCCAATGTGCCTATAAAGATTGGAACCAACGGAATGTTGAGCAAAACGTTACAGCCTGTGATGTTACAGCCATTTAACATTGAAGTCAATGGGCAAATAATTGCTAGTCTGTGCCCGGTTAAGTCTTGACAAACGTCTTTTGGGGACTAACATACATGTATGGTACAATTTCATTTTAAATAATTCGCTTGGGCATAAGAGTCTTTAATAGTGGGAAAAAACCGGAGGGCCCTGAGATTACCCACGATGTCAGGTAAGCGACCCTACTCACTTACAAATGTGGGGTCGAAACAATGCCACTTGACAGACCTTATGATCTAAAGTCCACAGGTTAGACCCTTCATCAAATAATCACCTCCCCCGAGTCATGTTTATAAAACCAATAGAGTTATCCGAGTCGATCATTTCGCTAGAATATTTCTATTTTTACAGTTATAAAGTTGTTCAGCTGAATTAATCCCAAATAATCAAGGATGTGTTTGCCTTGAAAACAAAAGAAAATAAACCTGCTTTAAATGGTTCAATGAATCTCTCTGAGATGTCATTACCCAAACTGAATTATAAATTAAACTCAACATATATTTTTTTTTTTTATTTCACATTTGTTACAATGAAGGACATTTAAAGGAAGAAAGAATAAAAATTGTATATGTTTATATTTATAATAAATGCAATCAGACTCTACAAAAAGCTAGAAGAAAAAAAATATAACAATAAAACATCATAACTTGATTTTAAAGAAGCTGATCTTAATACAATCAACATACAGGATATTTCTCTATTTCTCTTTACTTTAATAACCACCGATTCTTCTACAGTATACAGCACTAATAAACACAATTGTAATTAAAGAGACACTTCCATGAGAATTATCTCAACCTTAGCAAGCAATACACAAAAACACATACTTACGGAAAAAAACGGCTACTTATTTATTTGCACGATGTTTCGAAGAGCATTCTCTCGGTGTTATCAAGATCCTCTTCGAAACGTCCCCCAAATAATAAGTAGCTGGGGTTTTTTCCATAAGTATGTGTGTTTGTGCATTGCTCTATCCAGTTACTAAATGCCCCTAAAAGATTATTCTTATCAAGCAAATGCAAAATCTCAACGAAACGTCACTTAAATTAAAATAGTAATTGTGTTCCATATTATGTTTTTGTGTTTATTACGTGTGTCAGTTGCTAAATGTCACTCCAAAAAGCTGCCCAAAGAGTAAATAACACTGCTATACTAAATTAAACACACGAGTTCTATTGAAAACAATTACTGTAATTTTGATCGGAGCATGGAAACGACAAGAGATTAAAAATACAGTAATAATTTTCCATACAATTCTTGTGTTTAATTTAATGTGTTTAATTACTAAATGCTCTTTAAACAGAACACTGTTGTACAATTGTCAGTGCTAGACAATCCCGTGACAGGTGGTCGCCAGTTTTCCGATTTTCGATTCGAATTCCAAATACAATAGATTTTGTTTCCTTAACACCACCGAATAAATAACTGCATATTTATCATTAAACAATACATTCAAATCAGACACTATCGATAATGTGAACTCAACGTTCAAATAATAGATAATAATTGGTCTAACCTATAAACAATACTGAATACAGACAAGTTAAATATACAAACAGAGGACAATTTATAAACAAAATATTGTATTAAAGTTTGTTCATTCCAAAACCTTATTTTAAATTTCTCTCCATGAACTCTCTCAACACTTTTCCTTACAGAATTAAAATTTTCTGTATCTTTTATTTTTTTTCTTATAAATAGACAATTTTTCCCTTAATTTTTTTCTCCCCTCTTCCTGCATTTTTGGGTTGACTTTTATTTTTTTATTTTTTTTAAAGACAACATCAAAAAGCTAAAGATATCAAATATAATACATTAAAATACAAGTTAGACAATCGCCACACAATAAAACCTACCTCTACAATATATTGTATATCTGGAATGTCTACACATTAAAAGACAACTCACGTAATCTACGTGAGTTTAAGGAATCGGACACTTTTCCCGCGTACTAAAACCCAAATAAACTAAGCAGATACGCTCGACATTCTGCTTGTAATTTTGTTATCAATATATAAATATATAATGAAAAAGTGGAAGGGTTACCATAGTTACAAATAAAGCTTGAGTTATTATGAATATTATCTAAGAATAATAAAAACCCAAATATTCATGATTTTTTTTTTAATGGTACCCTAAAACTAGTACTAAATAAAATATTGGATATATATACAGAATAAAATTACCCTTAAAATTAATCATTATAATACCACAATATCATGCAAATTGTCATGGTCAAGCTTAAAAATAATATTCAAAATATCAAATAGAATATTCCTGATTTTCATCTAACAGAGTTATCTACCCTTGTCGATAGGCCTGCGGGCGTCTAGTTAGCCTCTTAACTCGCGGATGATTTTGTAACATGGGTCATAACTCTGCATTTTGAAAAGACTGACTATATAATTGTCAATAAACGATATTAAAAGACGCAATGCAAGAAATCAATGGTGCTCTTAACATGGAATTAAAACAAATGGGTACAATAAAATTAACTCTTAGCGTAGATAAGATTGGCGTCAGTATGATAAGAGAATTATTGATGGTGTACAACACAAAAGGGTTGGTATATAAAAATTGAGCAAACAATATAGCAAAAATATATATTTAAAAATGAAAACGATCTTAGAAAATGAAATCTGGTGATATTTAGGATTCCAGCAGACGACCTCATCTTGATCTTATTATATTTTATCTTTATTCAAAATCAAAATTCATTACAAACTTAATTATTAATATTACTTATTTTTATTTCTATTTAAAGGTGTCCATTTCTGTTCTCAAACAACTCATTACAGGGAGTAATTTTATTTAGAATACGAAATGTTAACAACAGTTGTGTATTACAGAATAAGCTGTTTATTACTTAATAAACATCAGTTGTGTGTTACATAATCAATAACAGTTGTGTATTACATAATAAATATGAATTGTGTATTACATAATCAACATCTGTTTATTACGTAATAAACACCAATTGTGTATTACACAATAAACACCAATTGTGTATTACACAATAAATACTAATTGTGTATTACATAATAAACACCAGTTGTGTGTTACACAATAAATACTAGTTGTGTATTACATAATAAACACCAGTTGTGTGTTACACAATAAATACTAGCTGTGTATTACATAATAAACACCAGTTGTGTGTTACACAATAAATACTAGTTGTGTATTACATAATAAACACAAGTTGTGTATTACATAATAAAAATCAGTTGTGTTTAATATAATAAACGTGTGTTTCATACTAAAATTGTATTGAAAATATGCTGATTTAAACTTTAGTAAGCTTAAAAACCTTTTTTGGAGATAACCACGCTGCTTTGAATTTGTACTACAATTACTACAATATCACCTATCACGGGACAAATTATAATGTATTATTAGGTTTGCCACCAACAGGAAAACCATGTCATTGCTATTCTGGCAAATGAAATAATTAACTCGTTATCATTAAAACTTTCCCCATAGTGTGTTTAATATTATCTTTACTATTGCATTACTTGTGACTGTGACCTTCACTTAACAAACTGTGTTTTCTCTGAATTAACAAATTATTTTGCTACTAAGCAACAGTGTAATATCACAATCTACCAGGTTACAATTCATAATAACCCATGGTTTTCTTCATAGGATAATTAAAACAATTCCTAAATTTTAAATCTATCCCACCAGAGACTAGACTAGTTAAAGCATGATTACCAGCATGTCTTACAACCAAAACAAACAAAACAAAAAAATAACCAGATGGATAATTGATAAAGCCAAATACACACTAAACCCGGTTTCCCATTGAAACGATCAATCGTCTAAAATTCAAACAAAAGGCACCAATAGATGGAAAAGGAGTGAATAAATTTGGATTATTGCTGCCTGATTTGTTGATATTTATAAGACATGATATGGTTCATTGCTCTCAGCTACTAATAATATGTGACATATTTGGAGTTTGCAAACCAACTCAAACATTTTGATGTAAAATTCAGATGCGACATTGAAATTGAAGTGTGTACCTGGCTTTACATGTATTCATCTTCAAATAAAATCATAAATTAAATATATGGTCTAAAGAACTGGTTGACCGAGACTAGCCACATCCAACAGGTCTTGTTATAAGGGACATATGTGTATTTCAAAACTTCTTGTTAACAAAATGCAGCATAAAATAATACTTATGTAAAAATAATATGGCACGCTTCTCCAGGTACAAATATAATAGGCAAACAGTTCCGGTTGCATATCCAGTACAGCCCACAGTTGTTTCTTGAGACAGCACTAATAATTATACCTGTAGACCCAGTTACATCCAGATAAAACAAACCCTTCAACTCAACATAAAATATATGGAATAATAGTACTCAAATGAACATTTATTGCTAAGACTAATTTGTGTCCTAAAAATAGTATCATTAATAACCCAAATACTCAAACCAAAATAAAAAATAAACTTCATAAAATATTTGGAAAACCCCAAAACAATGACTTAGCAAAGCTGTGCGCTAAGATTACTAACATGGCAAGATAAGGAACAAATAATACCCCAAAAAATAAATTAAAAATGGTCCCAAATATCATTAATTATGTATGTTTCTGTGGAAACAATGATGTGGAGCTTAAAATATATTGGTTGGTTTAAATAAACAATATTTTTTGCGAGATGATCCAGAAGTCGAGATGTAAACTGAACACCAATAGTTAAATATTGACTTGTAATATAAATATTTGTCTTTAGGCCAAGGGAGGGGGGTTGGGCGAGGGAGGGGGGGGGATTTTAGACACTATTTATGTACATAAAATTGGACAATGCATTATAATAATAATAAAAAAGAAAAACAAGCTCGGGTCTTCTTTAAACACCAATCCAATGCTATTTTTACTTCTAACCAGCGATAATTAGTCTTCGTCGCTCTCTCATGCTACAGGTTTATCGTCATGAGATTCAGCTTCCGGTGTTGCCGGGTTTACTATTATAGTAGCTTCTGATTGGGGGACCTGTCAATCGAAATAAAACGTAATAATCATTACAAAAATTCAACGACAATCCATAGAAAAAAAGTTTGCATACATCATTAGCGGTGACAATAAAGATATCAGAATAAACCCATTTTTAAGGACCCCTTGCGTTATTATAGCGCAATAGAAATCCCTTCCAAACCACAATATTGTCAAAGATGAATGGTTCAATTTCGTTCAGCATTTTAAAAGATATGTTGATCTAAAATATCACCAATCTATGCTGCTTGCTATGTAATAAGTCCGTCGTTTCTCTTTTTATTGCAAGAGCATCTTTATTGACCATTTTCGGCATTACAAGTTGGCATGTATATAATAAATTCATTTATGGCTTGACGCAGCCGAAGAGGGACAGTGTTGACTAAATATGATAAATACGCTTTGTGGGAACTCTAAATATATATTGTGGACCTATGCCATGTGTTGTGATGAATCTTCCCCCTGCAATAGAGACGTTGGGTGTCGCATGGTGTTTGCATGAGGGGTGAACAAAAACTCAAGAGAGCGCAAAAACTCAAAACCATGACGCAAAGCTCGTCATTGCGCCCTTCTCACTTAGCCCCTGCCTTGGTTAGAAAGAGTTTAGCAATAGACAATTAACAACAAAACTTACAATGGGGCTATCAGGTTTAATGGGCGAAGTGTCCGCCATTTCTGCGAATTGTTTCGCTTCTTTTTCATCTGGACTCATTTCTTCCATCACACCTTCTAGGGCCTCATTTTTCTTCTCTGGTACTTCCCTATGTAATATAATCAACATTAACTCATTTCATTTATACACCGTGTTATCAAACTGGTAAGCGAGAGAGAGAGAGAGAGAGAGATTCCGGAGAGAGGGACTAAAACAAGATATATCTGTCTTGAATATCATTACCTATCTGATGGAAGGGCAATTGAGAGAGAGAGAGAGAGAGAGAGAGAGAGAGAGAGAGAGAGGGAGAGAGAGAGAGAGAGATTCCGGAGAGAGGGACTAAAACATGATATATCTGTGAAGGGCAATTGAGAGAGAGAGAGAGAGAGAGAGAGAGAGAGAGAGAGAGAGAGAGAGAGAGAGAGATGGGGTTTAACGTCCACTCGACACAAACTAGGTCATTTCGGGACTAACACATGGTTCAATTTTATTTAAATAATTCGCTTGCGCGTTGGGGTATTTAGCAGTGGGAGGAAACCGGAGGACCCGACAAAACCCACGAGGTTGGACAGGCGACCCTACTGTCACCCTACATCTTGCCACGTACAACCGGGGATTCGAAACCACGCCAGTTGACTCAATGATAGACGTGATACAGCGCGCACGTGCTAACCATTCGGCCACCCAACCCCCCTCAAACTGGTTAGCAGTAAATATTCGCTTGGTCACTATCACTGAGAGGGTTGACATCTGGGTGAGTTACGTAGACCAATACTACACGTGACGTGAGTCGTGACCTTTAAGTTAACACTAAACTTAGGCTGCCTGTCTACAGTTACGTCCGCTTGAGAACAGGCACTAAGCTAGTTGACCGACATTTTGAGTCCTAAATCGATGATTTTAGTTTGAGTAATTACTCCGCTTCCATTTAATTAAACTGAAAATGTTTATTTAATCGCCGTGTTTATGACAGATGTGAAACGGAGTAGAGCCGCATTACAAAACATTATACTAATTTTTGGATATGGCGGCCATTCAGGGCAGAGATTTATTCTCGGAGTATGTTCTGGATTGTATAAAATATCTTTTTACCGGTATCTGAAATGATATTATCATGTTACATAATTGTCATTTTTATTTGAATTGCAAAAGTTCCAAATGCGTTAGTTGCTTTGTTATGATAGAAGTATAGACTAAAAATATTAAACAAAACAGGATGGGGTTAAATTTACTTTCGAACAGTAAACCATCTTTAATAGAAGGCTTGATCTCGCTTTAACTCCGTACATCTTATCAAGTCCTTTACGTAATATCCTGCATATTTCGGCACTAATTTCGATTGGGTGCTGACCCAGCTTGAGAGCTTATCAGTGTCCTCGATCATCGCGAATACCAAGTCTCGCGCTTTCCAACTAAAATGTCTACCTGTGATAATCGAGTTGCAAAGTTCAAGATTCGTTCAATGTCAAGGTTTCCATGTTTGATTTGAGTGTGTTTGTGTCACGTGTCTGTGGTAACGGGAGATAACGTAGCTATAAGTTCAGGAATTGCACAGCAGTGTAGCAACGTCTAGATGCTGTAAAACTCGCGGTCGTTGCTTTAGGGTCATGGGGGTAAACTAGACAAGCATAAATTAATTGTGCATCCATAAAACTGCACCTTGTGTTAATATGTTCAATTACTAAATGTCTATCAAAGAAGTTAGACAAACAATGTTGTTACAGACCCAACATACGACTTCTGAGAAAATGATGTAAGCCTATACTTACTCCTCGTTAACTTCCTCGGCCTTAGCTTCTGTTAACAATGGTTGTTTATTCTCCCTGAGATAAAAAATAAATAAATAAACGCATTTAATTTTAAATGTCATATTACATATTTAACTATATAATACTAATTGTGTAACGGCTATGAAGAATATACAGGTCACAATTCTATGGAATACAATTACTGCTTATTACTGAGAGACGTTTCGACTAGTCTTCTCTAGTCATTATCAAGCAATGATAAAATATGAATATATGACAAGACTAGTCGAAACGTCGCTCAGTAATAAGCAGTAATTGTATTCCATAGAATTGTGACCTGTATATTCCAGTTCAATTGTATGGAATACAATTACTGCTTACTACTGGGAGACGTTTCGACTAGGCTTCTCTAGTCATTATCAAGCAATGATAAAATATGAATATATGACAAGACTAGTCGAAACGTCGCTCAGTAATAAGCAGTAATTGTATTCCATAGAATTGTGACCTGTGTATTCCAATTCAATTACTAAATGACATTGAAACAATTTATCAAAGAAACGGTTTCAGAAAAACTGACAACCCTATTCCGATTTAATACGTTTTAACTTTTATTAAGCACTAGTAAAATGTCTATTTCATTAATAGAACTTTGTTTTTGGCTACATTGGGTTTATATGCATCTTATTTATATTTTAGCTCACGTTTTTAAGCTACATAAACTCAAGCCAGTTTAACTATTCTAATCTCCTCTGTTAGGGGTAACCCAGCATGGACACGTGCCGCAATTTTCAAAGGAAGATAACTCAGTGTCCATGTCCAAAGCTGACCGGTAAGGACAAAAACAAGATCTAGCTCTACATAAAACGAAATAAACTAGCATCCTTACTTGTCGCCTTCTTCCATGTCACGTGCACCATCACTTTCTCCCGGTGGTTTTCCCGCCAGTTTTTGTTGGAGAGTCCACAACACACCACACTGCTTGTTGAAGTAGAACGATACGTCGATAATGATGAACAGGATAATTAGAATAGCGATGATGGTTCCAATTATCGCCCCTGTTGCCATGCCAGCACCAGATACTGAATATGTGGAGTAAGAACGTTATATTATAATTTGTTATTCATTACTTATAGATGAATGTTAATAATCATAAATAGCATAATATAATGAAATGTATCCTTTTTTTATTTATATAAAGAGTGTTTTAGTTAAAAATGTTGAAAAAAGATCGAGGAACAGGCATGGCCGATACTACCCGTCTCCTCTTGCATATAGACGTTAATAATGAAAACATTTTTTAATAAGATAATATTGTACAAATCATGCAGTTACATTAAACAGTACAGAAGAGTTTTAAAGTTTTAAAATGTTTCTATACACAAACACATTTTTAAGCCGTTAAGCATGCGTCAAACTGTCTGCCGAAAAGGAGGGGGGGGGTATAAATATGAAGAAAAGAAAATATTTCATGGATTTGGAATTACAAGATTTTGTCTATAACTGTTTAGTTTAGGTGGATTGAAAATCTTACTGAAAACAAGTATTTTGAACAGGCCCGTAACTAGAGGGGCGCAGGGGGGGGGGGGGGGGGCTTTGCCCCCCTGCAAAAAGTTTCGCCCCCCCCCCCCCCCCCCCTGTGAAAAAATTTTCAACCATAAAAAAAATAGATATACATTGTCCCTCAATATTACAGCACCCCCGAGAACACTTCCCGCCCCCCTCGTTGCTCTGAGCTAGTTACGGCCCTGATTTTGAAGGTAATTACAATATTCTTAAGAGTAAATAACTTGAACTAAGAAAATTAATCTGATTAAAATACAGATGTTTACTTCGTTTCAGTTTTTTTTCGATGGTCTCTACATATTTCTATGGTGCAGACCACTCGGCAAACCTCGGCAGATTCCGGAACCTTACATCTAGCCTCGGATGTATGACAGTAAGTGATATGCACCTACGCCTATACATTTGCGATGCGGCACCGGTTTACTTATAAGGGAAACTTGACCGCGTCTAGAAAGAAGTTCTCAAAATTGCGTCGTTCGAAGAGTGTGAAGAATTTTCAGTGCAAATTTGTCCTTGTCTAAAGAAAATCGGATAAACTTGAAAGAAAAACAGCTTCAAACTTTGAAAATTTTGTATGATAAAACATTCTTCAAATACGTCGTCATCAATGACGTCATTAGTCGTCATGGACAACGCCATTGTAATCCGGGAACTTGAAAGTAGGTCTAATGGCGGACTTGGTCATACAGCCGAGATTAGATGTAGGGTACTGGAATCTGCTGAGGTTTGCCGAGTGTGGTGCAGACAAGCAAAACGAAATATTTGAACTATAAAAAAACGAAACGAAATAGGATCTGTATTTCAATCATATTGAATAAAAAGTCATGTATATCTTTGTATTTATGTGTTTATAAATTCAGTGAACAGAATCGTGTAATTCCCATACATAATCATTAATACATAGATGCTGATAAAGGGAAAATAGCCATGAAAGATCAGCGATACTTATAGCGGATGCATGGGCCCGTTTTGCGGTTTACTCGTGTCAAAAAATAGATAGCTTTGTGGTCTACAGAAATTCAATGAGAACATGCTAAGCGTTACCAACAATATTAGCAGGAAAATAGACAAAAAGAAGTGAGGAGAATTTAGAAAATTAATTTCATGCTTTTAGTTCAAAAAGAAAAATATGTTATATTTATTTTTTTTTAAAAAATCTAATAAAAACGGAAGAAAAACAAAGGGAAACACTAACTATACAATATGTTATATCTATTTTATTTTTTCTAAAAAAAAAAAAAAAAAAAAACAAACAAAAAACAAAATGGCAAAACCACCAATAAAATACCTACTTACAATTCAATCAGGTTAAAGGTTCATTAGCCAATCAGTAAAGCACATGAATTCCATTTGATCAATCACAGAGGATGATGCTAAATGTAACTTTGAGTGACCAATGGCAATAAAGCATAAATATAATACAGTAAACGGTCAAACGGAGAAGCGGAAGCACGGTTTTGCAAGCTGGTATAATTTGCAATCTTAGCAGCAATTTGCCTGTTGTTATTTTATCAATAGCATCGAATAAAATCATCGTCGGCGAAATGTGGTTCATAAAGGGGGTATACAAATAACAGTCCAACCGTCCAAATTCTTTGGATTTTAATAAAATATATATATATATATAAATATATAAAAAAAAATCTGAATGTTTTAATAGTATATAAAACATTTGTATATTTACAAGTTTGCTAGCTCGGTTTTAAATTGACAAATTTACAAACTACATGTAGCTCGGTTTTATATTTACTAGTTAGCTATGTTTTATATTTACTAGTTAGTTATGTTTTATATTTCCAAATTAGATATGTTTTATATTTATAGGTTAGCTCGGTTTTATATCTACTAGTTAGTTGTGTTTTATATTTACTAGTTAGCTATGTTTTATATTTACTAGCTATGTTTTATATTCATAGGTTGTTAGCTCGGTTTTATATTTATAGGTTAGCTATGTTTTGTATTTACAAGTTAGTTATGTTTTATATTTACTAGTTAACTATGTTTTATATTCATAGGTTAGCTATGTTTTATATTTATAGGATAGCTATGCTTTGTATTCACTAGTTAGCTATGTTTTATATTCATAGGTTAGCTATGTTTTATATTTACTAGTTAACTATGTTTTATATTCATAGGTTAGCTATGTTTTATATTTATAGGATAGCTATGTTTTGTATTCACTAGTTAGCTCTGTTTTATATTTACTAGTTAGCTATGTTTTATATTCATAGGTTATCTCTGTTTTATATTTACTAGTTAGCTATATTTATAGGTTAGTTCGGTTTTATATTAACAAGTCAGCTTTGTTTTATATTTAAAATTAGCTTGTTACAAGTTACCCATGTTTGATATTTATAAATTACCCATGTTTGATATTTACAAGTTACTCCATGTTTGATATTTACAAGTTACCCCATGTTTGATATTTATGTTAGTAGTGTTTTTATTTATTTACACCCCGTTCTTTTTTATATTTATTTACACCCTGTCCCTTTCGACATTTAAACCCGTGTAGGTTTTGTATTTAAACCCTGTCCCGTTCTACATTCACACCAGGGTAGGTTTTGTATATACACCCTGTTCCGTTTCACATCCTGATCTGTTTTCTATTTGCATTTGCGCCCTAGCCTGTTTTGTATTTACACCCGATATGTTTTAAATTAACACCCCCTCCTATTTTGTCCGTTTCGTACTTATAAACCCCCGAAATGTTTGATATTTACATCGATCAGTTGTGTAATTCATAAAAGAAACATCAAGGCGATTATTCTAAAGTAGTAAATATAAAGTGTATTGTGTATGTTTAGACAAAGCAGAATCATTATCATCTATAAAGTAGCGAATGGTTCAATATAAAAGAATACGATATGTTGCTAATAAATAAAGATATATCCATCCCACTGCAGTTTGTCTTCTTCAGTTTTATCTTGCGCCACCTGATCCTTCACGCTTGATTTCCTAAGTGAGTCTGGGCTAGAAAAGTACCACTCACACCATCACCCCAAACATGAATTATATATATTGTTACATTGAAATAAATCCATCTAATACAATATACGAATCACCCTAATAAACTTACATCTCTACCAGTCCATGTTTGTCTTGTGGGCTGATCAACTTCATCTGTACAAACATCAGTACTACCCAATTCAACATACCAAGATAAATTGGTTGAATTATAACCATTTTAGGAAAATAAATTTAAAATATGTAATCAGGTCTACATTTGTCCCTCACTTCTGGAGAATCGCCTTAGCTAAAATGGCTTGTAAGGTAGCCCATGCTCTTCACCCTAGCTATGCCAGTTCTATCAACATCTTAAACACTCTAATGTGCTAATTCAAATAAAGGAGAAAATCGTATGTTTATCGACCACAAACATTTCTAATTATAATATCTACCATTATGTTCTAACATGGGTTCAATGCAATATTGTAGCTAAACAAAACTCTCCAGCTTAGTCATGGCAGATCCATTAACATCTGAAACAACCCGGAGTGGTATTCATTCCAAACGCAATCGAAACTTTCAACATTACAAGTATGTATGATTATAATATTTTGAATGTTTCATGCACGACGAATATCACGTATGGTCACGTATGCGGTTACATCAGTGTCAATTGCAATGTAGCAGCACTTCTAGTAAAGAATGCAACAACGTTTGAATAAAAATGGATATTTATTTAAAACAGATGAGAAATGTAATAAAAACAGACAAACGACCAGTCAATGTATAAACACACAATGAAAATTATGACTAATTATATCCATCGAACAAATTTACATAATACCTAAATATTAGCACAAGTTAAATATCTTACAATAATAAATATTACTCTTTAATCTCGATCGTTGCTCTCTTTAATCTCATCTCACACCTACACAACATGCTGTATCTATAACAACACATAATATATTACAATATATCAAGTATGTGCACCAACTTCTATAGATATTCCAGCCAGTTTTCCATGAGAAACATTCAGTTGGCTTTTAAAATAATTATAGAATTCTATTCATTATCATGGTTGGAAAAATTGTGCGCAGTTTGCCTTTAACCTAAAATTCAATACCTTCTACACGTTTAAGGCAAGCTTTTTTCGCCCCTTCATCTTCCTAAAAGAATTGCAATTTTCACAAACTACTAATTGATATTTGGTAAAGTCTCTTCGAAGTATCGATCTAATTCAACTTTATGGAGTGTTTAATAACTGATGTTTGAGGTTAAAGTCGTGAGAACTGGGGCCTTTATTATATTTAACTTTGTGTTAATATTTCTAACTTCAAGTGAACACAAATTTTTTTTAGTGTCTAACAACAACATTAATATTTATACATAAATAGACATCGAACTACAAATAGGTCACAAGGTCAATTACTTTTTACATCCATATTACTCCGCCACATTATATCTAGCTAACTATTCAGGAGGATTGGCAATCAATATTCCACAAACACCATAAGACTAAAGGTTGTATTTAAAATTTACACCAGAAGCATTGATGTCTTGCAAT